GCTTTTGTAACAGAGTGAAACTGATCTGTGCATCGTCGTGTCACTAAGAGACTGCAACTGGATCCACCACATTTAGGTGCTGTATCCTATTTGTTCAACTGTACTGAACTTCGCGTAGCACATTTTTGTACACCGCAGTTGACATATCCGGTTGATGATTGGATGTTAGACGAACCCCTTAATATTTCACTTCCAGTCGATTTGGGATAGGTCGATGACCCCTTTCCATTTGACCTCAGTCCTGGTGGACAAAACCGCGGGTTTTAGGCCCGTTTCGATTAGCTTGGAGCCCGGGCCTCATATATTGCTTCTACCTGCGGTGGAGATAAGCCATTGCTCATTGGTTTCCTACCGCTTGCCATTGGTGTTCAAATCATAATCAGCAAGCTGATTTGAGACATCCTACCATTTCCTATAGAATCAACTGCCCCCTGTTTCCCAGTTTGAAATTTGTTCCACAATACATCGGCTTATGAAAATACAGGTTCCATGACGAAAGCGCATACGAGAAGTGCGCACAGCAAAAGGCGCACACGAAGATTGCGCACTTAGAAGAATGCGCACACGGATGGAGGCGCACACTAAAAGTAAGCCTAACCGCTATGTCAAGCACTGCTTGCGGAGCTCAATGGCCCAGCGATCATGGCGATAGCTGCCAAGCACTATGCGCCGAGTTCCACTCCCAGCTCAGCTGTTTCTACCTGATGCATGCAAACCGGGACGAAAACGTCGGTCATGGAGTGCAGGAATGGGAGAGAGCCACACCTTAAAGCTATACGGTCTTCTGCCGTGCATGGATGGCCGTCGTCTCCGAGCTTCGACAGGCAGGCGGCCACGTTTCATGTTGCTTTGTGGACTAGCCTGGACAGTAGTGTGGACAAACTGGAGCTTATATTGTCGCCATGTCATCTTTTGGCGTTAACTCTGCTAAGAAGGCGATACATCCATCACGGTTGATCCAAACTCGTCAGTGCTTTTGGATGACTCACTTGATCTGCACTCAAGTTTGACTGAATTATTGCTGCATGCTCTGATCACTAGTGATTTCTCGCATGCTAACGAAAGTTTTTTGTTGCTAGTCGTCCTAGTTTTCGCTTCCGCAGATCTCACTTCTCTGTGTCATCGTCTGGGTATGATTGACGTGAGTACCACAGGGGTGTTGGACGGTTCTCTGGAGGAACTAAATTCTCAGCTAGCATCTTCCGAGGGTTTGATGGGTTGTGCCTTTGACCACGCTCCGTAACAGCTTATTAATGCCTCAGAGCATTCCCCGCAAATCAAGGAGGCTTTGGAAGGGGAGTATCCCAAACTGTTGAAATTCGCCCTCGACTTGTCACGGCGGCTTCAGCAAACCCATTTCCCAGGTGAATTGTACGAAACAAACCTAAGAGTTAAATCGGTGGAACCATCTGAGCCTAGTTTATCGGCATGCATCTTTTGGATGCTTGCTCATTTCGAAACGTTGTATTGTATTACAACGTTGCGCATGCCGGCCCACCGACTCCCGCGACGTGCGTTGTTTGCGCGCCCATGGTAATGCCCTTGTTTCGAATTTGGCGTCGGTTAGTGTGTCCCGACTGCCTGGCTGGGGTCTAAAGGATTGTGAACACGTCTGGTTGGACACACTACTTGACATGGCAAGAAGCCGACCTCAATGACCTTTTCGTTGTGAGTTTCTTTGTCTCTCCCCATCCCGCTTATCTTCCCCCTCCAATCTCGATCTCCTTCTGGACGCATAATATGTTACCAAATAGTCTATCGCCTGTCTTTTAGCATTCTATAATTTCCAATATCTTGCTTTTTCCATTTGTTTTATCTTTATGTACTGCGATACAATAGTTGAAATGTGTTTTTCACCTTCAACTTATGTAAAATGATGATGATGATGATGGTTATTGGGAAACGGCGTACGCATCGCGTAGTCTGTCTAACGTCTTCTATTAACTCTGTATGGCTTTTCCATCTGACAACCATACGTTTACTTTCGATTCATGGCAACTGGACGGCTTGCTCCCGAGCTCTGCAATTGAACTGGCCTATGCTGCTGTTCCATACGATTTCCTGCAAAACACTACTACACTAACACCCCATTGGGACCATTGAAAGTGGGTGAAATAAGCGGTGACGCCACTAAACGGAATGCCCTCCAGAATGGACCGGAATCCGTCATCATCTATCACCAAGCACCTCGTGACAATGTGAACCCGAAAACTATTAAAAAACTCGAACAACAATTTTTTCCACCATTCGATTTTGTTGTACAAAATGGTCAGACCACGAAATCGGTCTGTCTCGCAACGTCGAGAAATATACCATTTATTTATTTAAACATTTTATCAGTCGAATCACATTGTCACAACTGCCCATGTGATCTGTTTATGGCACTAACAGGATCCAGTTTTTGATGTATGCCTCCAAAAGTAGCAAATTGTGATAATTATGACGTTCACACCCAAGGTGCCCATTAGTTCGACCACTATGCACGTACAGCGTTGCAAAACCATGAACAAAACTACGCAGACGGAGCATTGCTCGCCTACTTCAGTTAGTCTAGGCCTCAACGAATCGGCGGCCGAAACCCGTTGTGTGTCAGCAGACCGAGTTACTGTTCCGCCTTCGCTTGCCTTCCTTTCACAGACGCCGGATTCAAAGGCGGCTATCTTCACCTGAGCCTGAGCCTCATAATTAATGTCAGCTTAAAGACTTTTTTTGCAATTGTTGTCAGCCGAAAACTACAACCCAAGCACTTACTGTTGTCCCACTCGTTGATATAAATGGAGTGTTTGATAATTTTTGCGCTACATTTCCAACTAAAGTATCATTTAATGCCTCTACGTACCTCTCTACGTACGTTTGCAAAGCAATCCAGGATAACTTGTATACTGTAGTAAATACTCTCATTAAGGATTCAGGTCGCGGAAAACGATCTGCCTTACAGTCTTCCTGGTAGTGACCACGAGACAATAAGGCTTATCTGCGTTACCGGAATAAACCTCACTCCATAGCCACTCATTTAACGTTGCATCCGAGGGGAATAACTGGTCACATCTCCAACACTTATGCCGATCTTCTGTTTGGACTGTATTTTTCCGTTCTACCACCTAGCTCAAAGGATGTGGCCCAAGGAAAATGAAAACGGTGCTTCAATCAAGCCAGGTGTAAACGAATTGCTAGGACGCTGACATGCACTTCGTTGCAGAATACTTTCTGAGTTCTGGATTATAGCGGTGTCCTCCAAGCAGACATCATACACTGGGAACTGAGTCGCACCTCGTAAGGGGAACAATTCAGATGACATCCCTCGGTCAGCCTGCGAAATTGACGATCACACCCCATTTATTAAACAAAACGATATTGTTCAGGGGGAATATACGACTGATAGGACACAAACTCAGTCTCCTGTATAACGAAGAAAAAACAATTAGTCACCAACCTCTTAGAAGTCGGCGCAATTCCACATTCAATTCACGTCCCCACGACTCACTACTGATATCAGAGGTATCACACACGTGGTACCTTATCTTTATTACTGAAACCTGGTTGCGCGCACAAATTATCAACGACGAAGTCGCGATGGAGTGGATGTCCCTTATTAGCAACTACGACAAACGGAAATGGACTACTCATAAGTTGTCAGTACAATCATTCCCTTACATGAATTTGAAACTGGGGCAGTCTTTGTGACGATGTCGTCCGTACATCTGAGAAGTCTCTTGAATCTGTGACGAACAATTGGCAAGCAACCAATTTTCTTAGTTCCGGACACATCCAAGTAAGGGTGCAACCACTTATCCCGTAGCACCATAGCTTCAATTTGAGTCTGAAATAACAAACAGCCTGGAAGGCTATCGTACTGCTTACCATCCTTCGTGCAGCTACGACGCGCGCTGATATTCCCACAACCCAAGTAGGCACGAATCATCAGTGCCGTTTGAAAGCGGTCACCTCATCTATACGCAAAACGTACGCGTGCCCATTCATTAATGCATTGTTTAGGACTGTATTTTCATCAATGAAATGCTCACGTGGAGAATTGTCCATTAGTGCAATGCCAAAACGGGTCAATCATTCAAAAACAAGACTTCATATTGAAAGTGACAAAAATGTCTGCAAGCGTCGGTTGAAATACAAGGGTACAGGATTTGCTGTTACGAACACAGTTTATCGTTGAGCGTAGCTAGCTTACTGCTAGGTTTAACACCTGCATAGACAACAAAGATCATTATTGCAAATGAGCAAATCTTCGAAAGTATTTAAGTCGGTCTTCCGTTGATTCATGTCGGTTGGTGGCCGAAGCGATTGCACGTAGTGCGAGCGTCCTTGCGGTATACTCAGCCCACGCGCGACCGATGGCGGTGGCGTGCCAGCGAAGCGTCGGTACAATGTACCGGCACATTGCTGGTGACTGGCATATTGCTAATATCTTATGCAAGCCAGAACACCCTACCGTAAATCCATATGAATCCTCGTGGTTTAGTGCATACTTTTGTTGTTATCTGTTTAGCTTTTTCAGTAGGCTACTCAACAGTACTTAGTGCCTTCCGGACGGCTCGCTTTTGGATTGTGCTCTCCCTGCTCTGGTTTTGATTGTAGTTAAACCAACGACCAGCACCATTACGGGAATTTCGTTTCTTTCCATTTTTGATCTGCTTAGCTGGAGGAATCAGGCTTTTGCTCCCAAGATCCAGTATTTAACTGATTTCCTTAGAATCACTTGACTGCTTTCTCTTACAATGTTTATCGAGCACTTCATGTCACACGTTTTGTTCGCGCGACCCATTCATAGCACTTAACCTTGCTGTCGTAAAATTCTTGAGACGCTTGACCTCATCGAGGTAGGTATCTCAGGTTTATTTTTGATTAGGATCTTAACGCAATCATTGTCTCCAATATCAGAAAAGGGCTATGCGCCTCTCATCCTTTAGAATCGTAAACTTGCTCACATGCTCTAAAGCATCTCATGTTCTTTCCAAGCATTCACATTTCCTCTGACTGTTTTTAGCTGCGCGTCGCCATGTCAATCGCATGTGCGTTGCCTCTAAAAAACCGTTGATCGAATCGGGTACTGCAGGTTACCTTGGACAAGTAGAACCGCTCCTCCCCATCCCGCCACACGAAGGGAATCTTGATAAAAATAATTGTGTGAAAGTGCAGCTGCAGACTGCTTGCTATGAATGCCAATCTCGCGCCGCCGATCAGCGCACTTATCCTGCTTGTACGATCCGAAACACGCCATCTGAACCCATTCATTGTGTTATTTGGGCCAAGTACTTGTTCAAGTGAGTCAGAAATCGCATTTCCGTTTACATTTATCCCCACTTGACTGCAGTGCTTTTTGATCGTAATCCGTGACCATTGCACCGATAAAGAACTTTCGGTTGCACTGTTTCTCGGCACTGTGATTTGTCTCCACCAACTCTAATAATCGCAACTCACTGTGCATCTTGCCTCACCGTCTCATGCACTGGAAGCTTTTGTTGACTATTTGTTTCCACTAACTGTATCCATTGACTCCTTCGGGGGTAATATGACTCGACGATTTCTTTAATCGCAAATTCATCCACTTGCATCGTTCTCGTGTGCTACTGTGACAGGTACCACGTCAACGGTATCCACTGACTAGGTTGTTTCTTTTTCTTTTTTCTTTCGCTTAATCCCCTCTTTGTTGGGCTTACACGCTACCATGCTGATTTAAAGCAAGTAACACGGTGCTGGTTGCTTTAGTTGATGCCATTTTCCCAATCTATGCGCTAAATATCGAGTTAATGGTACTATTCATCCGGATGACTACCATGTGACCGGTAAACGCTGAAAGTGCTGCTCAAGTAACTGGTGCAAGGCATCTTGGGTTCACAAACACAAGGTGCTTCTTCAACTTCGGACTAACAAGCTTTAAGTTTCTGTCTCTGCCAAAATGCCAATGGAGGTTATGGGCGTTTCACTTATTTTGGCTGTCAAATCGCCTAATTAGCCAGTTCAGTTCAGTTCACTCATACAAAAATGCAAAGGGCATCAGTAGTAAGTCGACTCACCGTACAGACGTTTCTCTGTCACTGAACTGCCACCGGTGGCGTTGGGCTGTTTTCAGCGTGAGTTCGCCCGCACTTAGGTGGACTCGAACCGGGTAACCCCCGGACTACGAGTCAAGCGTACAGGTCTTACGATCACCGCCCGAAGGCCAATTATGCCACCATGAACTAACTCGACATGACTGATGTCACCATGCTAGAAATGGTAATTAGCGCTTGTGGGTAAACTCATTGTATGGTTTAAGTATAAGGATATGTAGTTCGAATTCGGTAGGTAAAAGTAACCGAGTTGGCATGTGTCATACGTACTGCATGCATTTCACGCTGGTGTACGATAATTGTGGACCAGGTGGGCGTGACCACTCCGTTTGGTGCATCCAACTAGCTATATCACTCGCACTTAGTGGGAACTGTGCACGCGCGATCGTCAGGCCGTGAGTGGCACACAGTGCTTGCAGACGATCTCCGTTTCCGTTGGCTGAGTTAACATCATACGGCTCGACACGTCTGTCCACACCGCTTCATCACGTCAAACGCGGGCTTTCAAATCACCCGGTAGAAATCGCCGATCGCTCATCAGCACGGCCCGTGGCCGGAATGACAAGGGGTCTGCCATGCAACCCGGAGGTTGCTGGTTCGAGCCTGCGTAGGAGGCCCGGCGATCCTCGCAATACCATTGACCCAATCGCGACTGGTGGTCGTTGTGTGACAGTGAAGCTTCGGTACAACCTACTTTTGCTGCCAGCACATATTATGTTACAAAAGACAACAGTGAGTTCAACTGTTACTTTGCGTCGCCGGGATATCACTCAGTAAGACAATACGTGAGTGGTGCACTGCTAATGAGTAGCATAGTGAAACGAGCAGGCGCCATGAACTCAGCGAATAGTGGATCACCGCGAATGATGGGCGCGTAGTGCACGATTCAACTAGCCTTGAAAATGGATGGCACTGGAGTGTTGAACCTATACCGTATCGTCACGGCAAGGTGAGTCTATAGCACGAGACACAGCTTGGAATCAAGTGACACCACGAATGATGTACACAATTGAGTCCGACTGTTATGGTTAGAAATCTCATACCATGTATACGTTCGTTCTCTAATACATAACTCGTTCGCACCGCACCGCCTTCGCATTTGGTGCAGTGACTAGCTTGCCGTGGAAAATGAAAATTCTGTGGCTGGGACCATTTAAGGATGCCGATATTTGGAGATTCCTGGAGGACTTCGAAGATGTCGCGGAAGCTATAGGGGTCAAGCAGGATTGGGCGAAGCTGGTTGCGCTTCGGAATCCACTCAAGAGACGGGCGAAGACGATCTTGTAGGTGACAATAGGAGTCCCAGTCAAGTTAGAATGGGCCTCCGCAAAGGGGGGCGCTGATCATAGGGTTCGCCAGTCCGGCCGACCGCCAGGATGCGATGCGACGTTTCAAGGCGGATCCGGTCGTGTTTGCGGTCCATCTCCTCAGCTTGTTGGATCGGGCGCTGCCAGATTTGGATAACGCGTCAAGGTAGCAACTGTTAGTGGAGCAGTTTCTGGACGGTCTACCTCCAACAATGGCGAATCGATTGCTTATTGTGAACGCCACCCAGAGAACGAGCGTGATGGTGCTTGCTCGAGTGGTAAGCGAGTTGGTGCAGGAGCCAGCCGCTGCATTGCGAATCGAAGACCGAAAAGATATCGAGTGATTGGACAGGTTAGAAGAAAAGTTGAAGCAGAAGTCGGAGCACTTCGAATTACCCGTCAGAGGACGCGACAAAGTGGGTGATGCTTCTTTTGCGGGAAACTGGGACGCTGGAATTGGCAGGCGCACTGTACTTTGTACCAAATAGAAGTTGCACACTGTATTGTTCTCGTGCTGGAGAGTGCATACTTGGGGCCCTAAACAAAGGTGCGATGGTAGTGAATAAAACCACAGAGAGGTATATAATCGATACAGGAGCCGCAGTGTCTCTGATCAGCCATCGAGATGGAGTACAAACCCAATCGCGTTTCGTGGTGGTGAAGGCAGTCAGTGGTTACGATATACGCATAAATTGTATGGCGGAGCACGTAGTTCGTATCGGGAGTCATAAATTCGACCATCTCTTCGTTGTGTCGTCGGACGCGAAACAGACCATTCTGGGGACATACTTTGCCCAAGCCAATGAGGCCATCGTCGACCTAAAACGATGAAAACTGACGACGAAATACGGGTCTATACCCCTTGCTGATGGAGTAGGATCCACCCGGGCGTGCTCAGCCGCTGCCGTTTTACACACTAGTATGGCCCTGTAATCGCTCGTCGGCAAATACAAGTTTCTCTTCACAGATGATGACAGCCATTACGGGTTTTGTGGTTGGCTCGAACACACAATTCCCCTTTCGCGGCAGCTGTATCTGTCGCATGGACCTAGAAGAATACCAATTCACCTGGAGACTGAGGTCAAAGGGCTGGTTCAGATGTTGAATGCGGGTGTAGTCGAGGAGGCTCACAGCCCGTATAATTCTCCAGTCGTTCTGCTTAAGAAGGCCAACGGAAAATACTGCTTTTGCGTGGACTTCTAAAGGTTGAACGAAATCTCGCTGAGTCGTTTTGTCTCAGTGGCATCAGTCGCCGAGATGTCCGACAAACCGCAGAATTCAAAGATCCACAGCACTGGGTTTGAGATCTTTCTACTGGCAGCTAGCGATCAAGCAGGAGGACCGGGAGAAGATCGCGTTTACAGTTTGCGAGAAGCAATACCAGTTTAAAAGAATGCCATTTGGATTATCTGGTGCCCCGTTCACTTTCCAGGGTTTGATGCTCCGCCTGCTGGATGTGTTAGAGAATGTGGTCGTGTATGGAGACGACATCGTGATATACAGTGTAACGGAAGCAGAACACTGCCGTCATTTGGAAGCAATGTTGCAAAGGATCCAACAGTGGGGATTATGGATAAGTACTCCTAAGTCTCAAGTCGGAAATAGGTCCGTAACACTGCTTGGTCACAAGGTGGGTCAGGGTGAGCTGAAGCCGCTGCCGGAGAAGATACTGACAATTCCAGACACCCAAGTTCCAATCTCGGAGCGCAGTCTTACAGTATTTTTGCGCCGCGCCGGATACTACAGTAAATTCGTCAGGAATTTTAACAGTTTGGCGTCACCTTTGCACGACCTTTTGGGAGAGGGGAAGAAATTCACATGGAAGCCAGAACGAGCGTTTGACGACATTCAAGAAGAAATGGGAAGGCAGGATCTTACATTGAAATTGTCGATCGCCGGAGAAACCTTCACAGTGACCACAGACCCAAGTGACTTCGGAATCGTTGCGGTACTGGGCTAAAAGCAGGGAACGATTGAATGCACTAACTGAATTTTAACACCAACAGTAGCGAAAAAGTACCTGGCAATTGTTTGCGCGCTGGACAAGTGGCGGGCGTACTTACCGGGTCAACGTTTTCACGTTGAAACAGATCACAAACCATTGGAATTGATTAGGTCCTACAAAGACCCCATTGGCAAGTTGGCTAGGTGAGTGTTGCGCTTACAAGAATACGACTTCACGATAAGCCACATATCAGGGAGGGACAACGAAACAGCAGATTTTTTATCGCGCCTGACGAGTGACGACGATTTGCCGAACGTTGCGTTCGCTGTCAGTGGTTTGGTGCTGGAACAGGATCCGGGGATGTTGGCAGCTGAACTACGAAAGGATACGCTCCTGGCTAGACTGACAACAGCACGAATAATGAATCAAACTGTGGCAACCAAAAGCCAAGGCAAACAATTCAAGCTGTTCGCGCGGAATCTGGAAAACCTGCAACTCAACGAAGCCGGAATTCTGATGTGGACACAAGGGCGAGGCGCTACCCCGGTGCCGGTGATCTCACCGAAGTTGCGGAAAAAGTTGGTGGTCTCTTGTCACGAGATGGCGCATATCTTATGCACCAGAACGTATACTTTTCTTAGGCAGCGATGTTACTGGCCGGGTAGGAAGAAAGACGTCGATACATACGTGCTTTCGTGTCAGCAGTGCCAGTTCTTAATGGGCGACAATCGAGACAAACCGCAACCTGTGCTCGCGATTCTAGTCTCTGAGATTGATGAGTTGTGGCCCATTGACATTATGCGGCCATTATCGTTAACGAGACGAGGCAATCAATACATAATCATGATGTCCGAGAACTTCACCCGCCGGATTCAAGCCGCGGCGATTCCGGATCAGCGGGCTAGCACTATAATATATGCGTTGATGAGGCACGTGGTAGCGGGCCACGGAATTTCAAA